TTTATCCAAATCGGGGCACGAGGCTCTGGGGAATAAGAGAGGAATTCGAAGTCGCTGGCAAGGCAGATTGTAAACTACAAATTGTCAGCAAGGCCACATGAAACAGATTCTCTTAAGGAAGTACAGGCATCAGGTGGGAGCACAGAGGATGGGAACGCACGCCCTTAGCCCACTCTGTGCTGGGCACTGGGTGAGGCTTCTCCCGGGAGTGGACATGGAGCGAGAAAATAGACGCAAGGGCCCTTGACAGAGAGGAAGGGCTTGAGCAAGGCCGTGGAGGTGGGAAGCTGCAGGGCATCCGCAAGCACCTGGGGACCAGGAGCCTGGGATGGCAGAGTGAAGGTCATGCCTAGAGAGGGGGCTGAATTCGGAAGGCGACGGGGCAGCGCGGGTTTGGAGGAGAGTGGGCCCTCGGAACACCGCAGCAGAGCTTCTCTCTGGCCCTAAGGTTAGCAGGTGCCGGGGCCAGTCGGGGCCCACTCTGCTCTCTTCACAAATGCCAGCTCCACTCAGCGGGCGGCGCACGCAGGAGGGTGCGGTGGTGCAGGGAGGCAAGTGAGAGAGGGCTATACAGATGCGACAGGCCGGTTGACAAGCTCCAGGGTCTTGGGAGCGTTCTCTTAGGAGAAGTGGGCAAGGACCCGAGGGCAATTATCAGGGATGAGGAAGGATGGACGGGGTCGAGGCGCCAAGGCCCAAGTCTGGCGGCCTGAGCTCAGAGACACCCTCTGAGCGTGAGCCCTGGGCTGGCGGGGTGGGGGTTGGGGCGTAGGGTGGGGGGTGGGGGAGCTGGAGCATTCTCCCTCCGCACCTTGCCAGCCCACCTCCTCCCGGTCCTGGCCTCACCTTGCCTCCTCCTCCACTACACGTCGTCAGCCTCCTCCCCCGGCCTTGGAGCGCAGGGCTGCACTGAAACTTGGGGGCTGGGCTCCGGAAGGGTTCAAGACTCCGAGGTTCTCTTGATTCATGCGCACAGCAGGCCCAAAGCTCCCCGGAACCCGCTCTGTGGTTCACTGTTGAGAGTCAGCTCTTGGACAAAAGGCCTCTGGCGCCCTCTACTGGCGGCTCTGCGTCAACAATCCAATCGCTCGCTCCCCGTGGCCAACCCTGACCCTTAGGGCCTGAACACATCTGGGGACACTGTCAGCGGTAGGGCGGTATGCAGAGGCCAGCCAGGACGGAGGTCAGGCTTGTGATATTTACCTGGATTTCTAGCTGGTCACCCTCCTTCCTCCCTCCATACACAGCTGGGAGAGTCTCTTTAAAAGCATATTTGTGGATGCCCGGCCTGCGTGGCTCAGTGGCTGAGCGTTGACCTATGAACCAGGTCACCGTTTGATTCTGGTCAGGGCACATGCCCAGGTTGCCCTGGTGGGGGCATGCAGGAGGCGGCCAATCAATGATTCTGATCATTGATGTTTCTATCTGTCTCTCCCTCTCCTTTCCTCTCTGAAATCAATAAAAAAAATTTAAAAAGCATATCTGTGGAATACTACTTAGCAATAGCAAGTAATGAACTATTGATAGCCGCAATGACTTGAATGGATCTTAAGGGCATTACTGGTATGCTGAGCGCAGAAAGCCAATCTCAAAAGGTACATATTTTATGATGCCATCTATATAACGTTCTTGAAATGACACAATTATAGAGATGGAGAGCAGGCAAGGTTGCCAGGCATTAGGGAAGGGGGGAAAGGGTGTGGCTTTAAAGGGGCAGCATAAGAAATTTCTTTTAAGGCGATAGAACAATTCTCTATCTTGATTGTGCTGGTGGTTATATAAATCTATGCATGTGATAAAATGTCATGGAATTCAACACAAAGACACACAAAAGAATGAGCACATCCACAAAATGGTGAAATCGAGTAAGGTCTGGAGCCTAGTTATTGTATAGTGCCATCTTTCCTGGTTTTCATAATGCACTACAGCAGTGGTTCTCAACCTTCCTAATGCCGCGACCCTTTAATACAGTTCCTCATGTTGTGGTGACCCCCAACCATAAAATTATTTTCGTTGCTACTTCATTAACTGTAATGTTGCTACTGTTCTGAATCGTAATGTAAATATCTGATATGCAGGATGGTCTTAGGCGACCCCTGTGAAAGGGTCGTTTGACCCCCAAAGGGGTTGCAACCCACAGGTTGAGAACTGCTGCTCTACAGTTTTGTAAGCTGTCACCACTGGGGGAGGCTAGGTGATGGGTACAAGGACCTCTCTGTACTACTTATGCGACGACTTCTTTTTAAAAATTTTTATTGAATTTATTGGAGGTAACATTGGTTAATAAAATTATACAGGTTTCGTGTACAATCATCTATACATTGTATTGTGTGTTCACCACCCAAAGTCAAGTCTCCTTTCATCACCATTTATCCTCCCTTCACCCTCTTCTACCTCCTCCCAACCCCCTTTCCCTCAGGTAATCACCATATTATTGTCTATGTCTATGAGGCTGTTGTTTTTGCTTAATTCCTTCACCTTTTTCACCCAGCCCCCCGACCCCCTCTCCTCTAACAGCTGTCATTCTGTTCTCTGTATCTATGGGTCTGTTTTTATTTTGTTTGTTTATTTTGTTCATTAGATTCCACATATAAGTGAAATCATATGGTATTTGTCTTTCTCTAACTGGCTTATTTCACTTAGCGTAATACTCTCCAGGTCCTCCATGCTGTCGCAAAAGTAAGATTTCCTTCTTTTTTACAGCTGAGTAGTATTCCATTGTATAAATCAGTGGTTCCCAAACTTATTTGGCCTACCGCCCCCTTTCCAGAAAAAATATTACTCAGCCCCTGGAAATTAATTTTTTTAAAATTTTAATAGCAGTTACTCATCGCCCCCAAATGCACCTGTGGCCATCACTGCCCCCCTGGATCGCTGCAGCACCTACCAGGGGGCGGTAGCGCCCACTTTGGGAATCACTGGTATAAATGAACCACAGCTTTTTTTTTTTTTTTTTTTAACCCAATTATCTACTGGTGGGCACTTGGGCTGCTTCCAAATCTTGGCTATTATCAATAATGCTGCAGTGAACACAGGGGTGCATATAGTCTTTCGATCAGTGTTTTGGGTTTCTTTGTATATATTTCCAGAAGTGGAATCTCTGCGTCACAAGGCAGTTCCACTTTTAATTTTCTGAGGAAACTCCATACTGTTTTCCACAGTGGCTGCACCAGTCTGCATTCCCACCAACAGTGTATGAGGGTTCCCTTTTCTCCACACCCTCACCAACACTTGTTGTTTGTTGATTTATTGATGATAACCATTCTGTCAGGTGTGAGGTGATATCTTATTGTGGTTCTAATTTGCATTTCTCTGGTAATTAGTGACATTGAACATCTTTTCATATGTCTATTGGCCATCTGTATGTCCTCTTTGGAGAAGAGTCCATTCAAGTCCTTGGCCCACTTTTTAATTGGATTGTTTGTGTGTTCTTTTGGCGTTGAGTTGTATAAGTACTTTATAAATTTTGGATATTAACCTTTTATCAGATGTATCATTGGTGAATATGCTCTCCCACTCAGTGGGTGTTCTTTTCATTTTGTTGATGGCTTCCTTTGCTGTGTAAAAACTTTTTAATTGTATGTAGTACCATTTAAAAAAAATTTTTTTCCCTTGCCTGAGATATATCAGAAAAAATATTGCTTTGAGAAATGTCCAAGATTTTACTGCCTATGCTTTCTTCTAAGAGTATTATGGTTTCAAGTCTAACATTTATGTCTTTAATCCATTTTGAGTTTATTCTTGTGTATGGTGAAAGAAGGTGGTCTTGTAACAGTGATTGAAAAAAACATAATATACAAATCAGGTAGTAATTATAAAATAAATCGTACTAACAAACTCATAGGAAATTCAGGTAGTAAAAGAGGCTTTATGAAGGTTCCTGCACCAGGCTGTGGGCCACGTATATTACACACGTCTCCTTTTATCACCGTAAGAAGCCTCTGCGGTGTGAATGTCCTCACACTGAGCTGACACTTCCTAAGACATCCCTGCCCAGGGATCCTCATGCCTGTTGTCCAGCGGGTACCACAGAGCCCCTTATTGGGGTACACAAGGCCTTGCACATTCTGCCCCTGCCAGCCTCTCCCGCACCCATGCCTACGGGATCTCCCAGCTCTAATCATGATGGCTTTAGATTTGTTCTCCCCACAAGCCTTCCTGCCTCAGAGCCTTTGCCTATGTTGTTCCCTCTGACTATATACTCTTCCCTTAATTCCTCTTCATTCTTTAGTGTTTGGCTCAAATGTGGCTTCTGCAGAGACATCTCAGGTCCCTGGGAGACAGTCACACTCCAGTGACATAGCTTCAGAGGACCCTGTGCCTTTCCCTAGCTTTTCTATAAATGTACTTAACCAAGTCATCAGGTGTTTAATATGTCAAGTTCCAAACCTTACACCTGGATGCGGGGGTCCCTGCCCTGCCCTGCCCTGGATCACATAGGATGAGGAATCCGTGGGGCTCTCTCAGAGCCTAGGCCAGTGATGGCGAACCTCTTGAGCTCGGCGTGTCAGCATTTTGAAAAACCCTAACTTAACTCTGGTGCCGTGTCACACATAGAAATTTTTTGATATTTGCAACCATAGTAAAACCAAGATTTATATTTTTGATATTTATTTTATATATTTAAATGCCATTTAACCAAGAAAAATCAACCAAAAAAAATGAGTTCGCGAGTCACCTCTGATAAGCGTGTCATAGGTTCGCCATCACTGGCCTAGGCCCTTTCCTTTAGACCACACTCCTGATACATGGGACCCCAAATCCCCTGCCCAAACGGCCCCAGGCCCATGCCCTCAGGTGGACCAGGTGGAGTGGCCTGGGGAAGCGGGTTGCAGGGGGTGTGGCAGCTTGCACTCATGGACTGGAGTGTCCACATCTGTGCACATGACCTTCTCCTTGCAGGATGGGCCTTTGGGTGGGAAGATACGGGGGGCAGGCTGAGAGCAAGTTTACATCAGAACCTGGCCTTCCAGGTCAGCATGAAAGTATATCTGCCAAAGTAGGAGAACAAAACGTATTTTATTGAACGTTGTTAGCCTGATTTGTAAGTTTACAGTATCTCGACGGATGTGGCCTCCATTTGTACACTTGCCCAAGCCCCGCTGGCATCAGGGGTGGGCTTGGGTCAGCCTCACCCACCGGACCAGAAGCTCCACCAGGGAGGCAACGGGCAGCACCCCTGCTCCAGAGCACAGTGTCTGGCACAGGAGAGCAGGGAATAAATATTGGCTGTGAGAGACAAACAGGACGATCCAAGTGAAACGCTTGGCACGGTGCAAATGTCAATAAATATTAGCTATTATTGCTTGTGGAGTAAGTGCGCGGGTGGGTGGGGCAGGGAGGTAAGACCCACAAACTGATATGGTCTGTGCATGAGGGAAGGGGGCTGCTGACCCCGGGGTCCACACTGCCTTTGTGGGGGTTACACCCCCCTCCCCTCCATCCTGCAGGCCTCTCCCAGCTCTGGGTGGCAAGGCAGCCACCAAGGAGGCACACTTGACAGCCAGGTGCTGAGAGGGGCTCCTGCTAGTGCCACTTCCACTCCCCCCAGGGAAGAACAGCTGGGCAGGTTCCCTCTTCACCTTCAGGTACCTCCCCAAGCCCAGACAGAACCCACCCAGCTGCTTCGTTTTTTTTTTTTGCTTTACCCATCAGTCCATGCTGCGGTTAGGGGGTAGCTCAAAGGATTGATTTTACCCCACCACGAGGCTGTGCTTTGGTATAAGGGGAGCTTGAGCTGGGGAGTCAGATCACCCACTGGACCCTGAACAAGTCACTTTGCCTCTGCAAGCCTCGGTTTTCTCATCTGTAAAGTGGGGTTGTGTGTGGAAATGGTGCGTGTCAGGTGGCAGGTGCCAGGCACACATGTACCCAAGGGGAAGACCCCTGGCACAGAACATAAGTGGGTCAAGGAGGGCAGAATCCCGGAACCGCAAACAAGAAAGCTGGTGAAAACTGTCCACAGCCAGCCAGTGGGAGGGCTGGGCAGCAGTTCCTTCCTGGCGCCTGAGGGAAGGCAGGTTCAGCTGCCCGCGCTGGAGGCCCGGGTCAGTCCTGTTCCGGCAGCAGGGAAGGTGCTTCGTGACGGGCACAGTGCCAGCCCACAGGGTCTCTGTTAAGGCCTCAAGCCTGCAGAAGCCAGGAAGCCCCTCACCCAAATTACTCCTGCAACAAGGGGCTTGGGCGTCCCGGAAAACAACCCTCACCGCCCCGCCCCCGCCCCCCACGACATTCTCGTGTGCGCGCCCGCGCACACACAGGAGGTGGCGCTGTAATAAAGAACAGAACCCAACTAACCCCAAAACAGGACAGGCGAGGGGAAAATCACATATTGTGAGCTACCCACCCAGGGTCACCATACCCTCAGAACTGAGGGGCGCAGAATTCCCCGCGGCCTGTGGACCGGGGGGAAGTGGAGGGTTTCAGAAATCGAGTCTAGCCGCGTGGCAGGACACACGTGGCCAACGCCAGTGCCAGTCCTCAGCGCCCGCAGGGGGTCAGTGCGGCGGGAAGATGTCGGAGCACTGCTGCAAGATGAGCTCCACAACCTGGTTCTGGAACACCATGGTCATGGGCATGCTGGCTTCCTCCGTCTCCGGCCGCAGCAGCGTGGGCCCGAACACTATGGCCACGCTCTGCACGGGACATGCGGGTTCTGTTCGCCGTACTCAATCACCCTGCAGCGGCAATGGGGTGCAGGGAATTCAGGCTCAGCGATTGGAGAGTGTGGGGGGTCTCGCGAGGCCGGCCTTTCCACTCCAAGGCCCGCCCGCTCACCGGCACAGGTTCTGAAAGAAGAAGCCGCTATGGGTGTCGCCGTAGGGGGGCGGAGAGTGGGGGCCACTTGGGGGGGCCCAAAAGGGGGCCTCCTCTGGGGACTTGGTCTCTCAAGTCTTGGGAAAGGAAAACAGAGAAACCCTTGGGGCTCTCCTCGGGGGGGGGGGCCGCCCCCCCCCGTTAAACCAACACAACACCTTTGGGGCCGCCTCTCCTCAAAAAGAAGTGGATGTAGGATAAGAACAACAATAAAAGAAGTGGGTGTGTGTGGTGTGGTTCTTTT